CTCCCTCCCCCTCCTCTCTCTCTCTCTTTCTCTCATCTAAATTTGTCCAATCTCCCCAGGTCGCCTCCTGTCCGGGTCGTCAAGCTCGTATTGGATCGGAGCCTCCGATCGAACCCAGGAGGCCGGGTGGTCCTGGGAGGATGGCTCCCCATTTGCCTTCCTCAACTGGCACACAGGTGAGTCCTGGGACCCTCAGCTTAATAAAATTCTTCTGTTTCATTTTAAGCTTCAGGGTGCTTTCAGTGGGTGGTTGGCGGGTGCTCTGATGTGGTTTACTTCTTCTTTCCTACCAAACATCCTGTCTCTCAAACTTGTTTTCTTTGTATATTAATCTCTTTCTCTCTCTCTCTCTTTCTCTCTCTCTCTCTCTCTCTCTCTCTCTCTCTCTCTCTCTTTCTCTCTAATCTTTGGCACTTTATGAACTAAATTTGTTGAAAGCACTGTAAAATTCTTACCAAAACTAAAACTGAGGGTGCATTTGTTCTTTCACACTTTATCCCATAGGTGAAGATAGATACGATATGATAAGAGATGATAAACTTAATTTGATCCATAAGGGAAATTTGGGGTGGATCAACATTTCAAAGTGGTAACATTTGGTTCCCTATCAAGGCACAATAGTGTATCTTTTAAAGAATTATATCCTCTAGAATTTAGACTCTGCTCTCACGGGCGCAAAACTGTGGCAGTATTGAATTTTAAAATATGACCGATATTTAACCCAACTGAATATTGTTACCAAATAATACCCAAACTTTCTGTGTACATCCCAAGTCAATATTTTTAAGAATACTATTTTGATAAAACATGCCTTATGATCTTTGAAGCTAATGTTTTTAAAAAAATTGGTAGCTACATTCACTTTTTGGGCTCTCCTGTAAAATTGTAAAAACTGCATTTACTGTATTTTAAAAAAATCGTGGCAGAACTAGTGGAGAACAAAGGTGTGAAAAAGTACGATGACCAAATAAAGATGGAGCAGTTTCTGACTTTGGGATTGAGAAGAGAAGGAAAATGGCCTGAATGTACCTCCAGGGGTGTTTTATTGAGGAGAATTTTAGAAATATTACTGCTTGGGAATAAAAGAATAATAAAAGATAATAGGTCCACATGACAGTGAATACTAATCATGTCTTTGAAATGGCTGTCATAGGAATCTGTTTACCGATTTGATTTAATTTTTTTTTGTTTTGTTAGCCTTTTACGAAGACTAATGCCGTACTAAATTTAGAATCAACAATTTTGAAATATTCTTGAATCCCCTGTAGGAGGCAGGGCTGGGGGGGG